GGGGCACGATTTTGGCGGACACAAGGCAGGAAATTTCCGCCCGCGCAGCCAGCGGCGGAATATCTGGCCCGCGCTACAAATCCCCTCCACCCACCCCCTACCCCCCACCGCATAAAATTGAGGGCAACTGTATAACTAGTTACAATGTATATCGGTAACTATAGTTCTGATGATGTAACTAACTAGTTACAAAAATATAATGAAATTAACTATTACAGCACTGCATTTAGTACTAAGTGCTTGGTGTTTCATTATCAACCTCGTTCCCAGGTAGAAAGACCCTGGGAACGAGGTTGTTTCATTATCAGTGAACGCATGGATTTGAGCATGTCTTGAAAATGTACCATCTGCACAATCGATGTAATACGTCTTGACTCATCTTACCGCTGTCTTTAACTACTGACTGATGTTAACTCTCCACAGTACCGCGTACAACATACCCTTTCATATATAGAGGTTTTTCAATAAAGGTGGTCAGGGCCATATATAGTTAGCATGAATAGTTGGAGGGGGTGTCGGGCAAAAATTTCCGAATCTATTAGACGCACTTAGAATATCAATGTATCATAACTACATTGTAATAATGAAGTAATGTGATAAGTTCAACTACAATGTCACAATGGCTATGTTGTGCGGCAGCAATTGTTTATGGCACAAAAGTTTCCATAAAACGTAATGAAAACGCCACTGCAGGCATGATAAATGTCACAAATTTATTCGTCGGTTCGTCTTCATAAACCATTTTGAGGGTCCTGAAGGGGTAAAATGGGAACTGGGATTGACCTATTTTTAGACTGGGAAAATGGGATTTGGGTTGCTGGGACTGGGATTTGGCCACTGGAAATGGGAAATGAAGTCCTCAAAAATGGGAATGGGATTGAAGTAATGTGAATCGATTCCCAATTTTTCCACGTTTTAAGTATTTTGAAATACAATCAGATCTGTTTTTGGTGTCTTTGGTCATGATTTTTGTTGTTAACTATATTATTCACAGCACTAACTGCGAACAGGCATACTCTGGCGCCCGGAATTCTGGGTTTTATGATTATGCGTGTCTCAGAATGCTGCAAATGCCATTTCCGGGATTCAAATTTAAAAATATTCCGTGCCTTCAGCACGACCCTCCCCCCGGTGGCTTCAAAAGTCTCAAAACTGTTTATTCTACCGATAAATAAAGGGTTTTTTATTGACTGGGATTTCAATAACTCGGACTGGGATTTCTAATAAAAATCCAACTGGGACTGGGATTTTGCCAAAATTTCAGGTGGGAAATGGGATTGGGACTCTATGGAATGTAACATTTCTGTGCACCGCACACTTTAAACGCAACTTTGGTTGTGCACCACATGTTGTGCACATAGCCAGCGGGCTCATGACCTGTGCACGGACCTGTGGAGGGCAGGGTTTTTTCAGGATTTTTTCTTGGGTCCGTTTTTGCACAGAAGATTGAGTTTAGCTGAACAGCTGGGGGTCTGGGGCAAGCGGGCGGCTGACACCTGTACTCAATAAGTGTAGTTGAGACGCAATGTGTTAAAGCAGACACCATAAACTGATTAAATATGGCGAATGCATTGTTTTTCTTGTGTTGTGAAATGAATTTCAGCCATTTTTCTGGATTGTGGGGTTTCCAACTGAAAACTAATTTGCACACGTCACAAATTTAACTCAAACAACTTCATTTTTACTGCACTAAATCTTTTGGTGAGAAGATTGAGTTTCAAAACTCAATTCAAGATTGAGTTTTTGGGGCCGTTTTATGGTCCTAAAAAATCCCTGAAAAAACCCTGCGGGGGTAGCAAGTGTGTAGCAGCGAAGGTCAGAATTTCTGAATTCACCAATTACTAATTATAGTTGTTACACACCATAGTTCTAGTAGATATTAAAAATATATATAGATAACGTACGCTGTGAAAATCCAAATTTTTTGTGCACCAATAACAGAAGGAAATTGTGTGCACCAAAGAGGGATTATTGGGGAAGTTGTGCACCAATTTGTGCACCGATAGCAGCCTTTGTGCACGGCACATGTGCCGTGCACATCGCCTTTATTCCATACTGGGCGAGCAATCCCTCTATTTTCCTTCGTTTTATTGTTTCCCGGATTAAGACTGAACGCGCGGGAAAATGGCGAAAAAGGGGCGGATATGAAAGGAAAAATAGGGATTGCTCGCAGTCTAGATCTCGGGCTAGTTCAGTTGCATACGTTATTCTGCCATATTCCACCAAATTACCTGTAAAGGGGGTATTGAGGGTTTTTTAGGGACCAAGGGAACATGTAAGCTTCTTGGGGACCTAGGGAACAAGGTGAAATATTTTTTGGGAACAATGGATAACTTATCAACGAATGTGGAAACACAGACCCCCCAATGAGAGACCCTTCCCCCAATGAGAGACCCTCAGAATTATT